CCTGCTTTTTGTTCATGTTTCTTGATGATTCATACTTGATGAGATCCAAGTACCATGTTCTCAGCTTGGTTTTGGGGGTTCTTTTTGGGGTGACGGGGGAAAGTGTACTTGAACAACAATTTCACTAGGATAAAATCCATGATTTCATTAGTAGTAAGGCAAGGTCAGTTAATCTGATGGTATTCTGACAGTTGATAAAGTAACGGCGAGATGCCCCTTCACAGTGATTGCCAGCAGGCCCAGCACAGTGCCATTCTGAACTGTGTGTCCAATTCTGCATGTAGTCATGCATATGTATGTGTATGGGCTGGATATGAATCATTGCCAAGAGGAAGAGCACCAGGAGAACACCAGAAGACTCAGGGAATTCAAGTTCACCCTCTGTGCAAGGGCTCCAGCATATCACCTTTGTACCACTTCAGTCTTTGTTTTGACAGGTGAAGAGGGATTTAGACTGCATATAATCCTTAACCTGACCTTCCATGCAGAGCAGACAGCTGAACCTAATCATGTGCCACCAGACAGTTTGCCAATGAAACTTGTTCCTGACCTTTTCTTGAGGAGTTGTCCTGGGGCCAGCCTACTTTCTCCAATTAAACTCATCTCCCATATTCAAGCAGCAGATGAGGAAATGTAGCCCTTCAGCTGAGAGCAGAATTTATGATAACAGAAGAATGAAGCTTAAAGTAAAACAGCCATAATACTTAACATGCACGTCCAAAACAAGATGCTAGCCTTCTATCAAATGGAAGAAATTGTCCTTTCTAGTGATTTAGTCTCTAAAATTCACGACCGAAAGATCATTCTAAACATGATATATTAGATCAACGTGCTTTGTTTATCAAATAGTTACCATAAGCTGATGAAACTTGGTTATTAGTATTTAAAAAACAGATCAATAAAGAAATCAGTTAGCGCTACAGCAATATAGTTCAATTCTTAAACCTTTTACATTAGGAATTTAGCAGAAGCTCAGACAGTTACTGCTATCACATATTCCCAACATGCTTATGAGATACTTCAAATAAAAACTGAAGCAAATTCCTTACCTTCTACGCTCCTATCCTGTACTGATGCAGCAGTCAAATTCAGTGCTGTTTTCACCACCTCATATAAACTTTGGCCCAATGGCATCATAGCTAAATCCTTCAATGATGCTAAGGTACTGAAAGTGAAAAATAAAACAAAAATGAAGCTCTGTATACACCCAGAAAACCTGAAAGGGCTTCGTGGAAAAAGATGACATTCAAGCAATTGAATATAAATATTTTTTTATTGTTGAAAAAACCGATGTTTTGTCAAATTAGGCTTTTCATGAAAAAAATCACAAGTTGAGATTTTACAGTAGGAGTTTCACTCAATTTTCATTAAGGAAATGTCCCCTAAGAGGACCAATGTCCTCGTAAAAAAAAAAAAAAAAGGCAAGGAAAAAAAAAGAAAGAAAAAGAGTTTAAAGCAAGAGCAAAAATGAGAGCAAAACCACCACGTTCTCTCCATTATCCCCACAGCAAGGCAGGATGGACACAGAATACTTATATTTTACTTCCACTCAATCTGCAGAGATGAAAAAGAACCTTTAAAGCAATAGAACACTTATTCTCACAAATTAAACAAAGCACATTAGAGAACACATTGATAAAAATATATCTATTGAACTTCTTACAAGTCCCAGTCTCAGTCACCTTATCTGTGAAACAAACTTCTTTGTTAAGATAGCTGTAATTTACTACTTAAGGTTTATGTCAAATTTACTAGTTATTTCCTATAGAGTATTCCTTTGTTATTATGTAAATAAGAATCCAGTTTTGTTAGAGTGGATCAGCAGTTTCCAACACAGGTGAGAGGAAGAAAAACAAAACAAAACAAAACAAAACACCACCCCAATACTATTTAACTTTGCCAAGTAGGTGTGAAAAGTCTCTGTTAAGTACTTTCCAGAGACACAAAAAACATGGTACAGCCCAGGAAGTGGGAGAAGTTGTAAATTTAGGAACCCTTCTTTTAACTAAATTCTGCCTGAGCTAAGACCTCTAGAAACATATGATAGTAATATAAAGCTAGTCAAGAAGTGAGTATTGGGTTTTGTGGTTTGCTTTCCAAATTGCATTAGTTATAGCAAATTTGGTCATTGAAGGGCACCAAAACCTTAAAAAAACAAAACCCAAATGTAAACATTTGAGTCTCCCGTTAATCACTTGTGGGTTGACCCCAGCTGGCAGCCAAGCACCTACACAGGTGCTCATTCACTCCCTTCTCGGATGGGACAAGAAAAAAAAAAATAAAAGGAAGGTGAATCAAAATAAAGACAGTTCAATAGGTGAAGCAAAAGTTGTGCACGCAAGAGAAACAAAACAAGGAATTTATTCACTACTTCCCACCCACAGGTAGATGCCCAGCCACTTGCTCGAAAGCAGTCTCAGCACGCATAACAGCTATGTGGGAAGACAAACACCATAAACATAACACCCTCCACTATTGTCCACTTCTCACTCTGTCCGTGCGGTAGGCTTAAGGTAGACAAATTGCTGCTGAGATTATATTAACAGATTAATAACTTGACCCAGCAGAACAGCCAGTGGATACTGCTGCTGAAGAAGAAAACAATAACCATAAACTTATGATCAAGTTCCTGTTTTACCTCAGGAACACTCAAGACTCTGAGAGTTTGCAATCCTTTCAGAAAAGACTTCTGCTTTTCAGATATAAGCGCTACAAGCACAGTTAATGCATGTTAATACTACAGAGAACAAGCTAGAATAAGGTTACAAATGACTTGGGCATCAAGGGGGCGGGTGGGATGCAGAACCAGGCCCCCAACAGAGTTGCAATCCACTTATTGTAAAAGAGACTTATTTCCCAGTTTCAAAAAAAAAATAAATATGCCATCATATCCTTTGTATCTTTTTTTATTAGGAAAAAGACAGTGGGATGCTAAAGGGTGACAGAATCAGCACAGTAATTTCCTATTCAAAGTCTTTGGGCCCCTGCCTCCCCATGGGGTAAGGCTAGAGAAGTTCATGGCCAGTCTTGCACAGGCAGCCGGGTTTGGTGGCCTCCTCTAGCCTTATAAATATGTTAATTAACTACAATGACAACTATTTACCAACCTATTACAATCAGCTACCTACTCTGGCAAATACATTTTTTCTACTTTTTCCTAACAATTCCCTTATTTAACTGAAAATTCCTGTAGATACTTGTCTTAATCTGTAATTTTGATACCATGTCTTCCTCTGAATCCAACTGTCCTTTACCTGAGGCAGAAAACTTTCATGTTCAGAATACAGTCAGCCAAACAGCCAAAGCTATTTTGACAGCAAGAGGCTCGAGAAACAAAAGAGTAATTTTCCTGATACTGACCAAGTGCTACATACATGTTGATTAGAATCCAAACTATTATTTTCCTATATTCATATGTAAATATTCTGTCTTTCAAAGACTCCCAAAGCACATTACAAAGTTCAAAGCCATATTACATGATGGGCTAATTTCAGCCATTGCTAACATGAAGCTACTTCTTGGAGACTCCTAGGGAATTTCTCCTGAGTTTGATAGAGATGAAAAATATAGTTATGAAGGAATCAGAATGGCTGAAATCTCCTCCTACACCTCTATAAAAGTGGAATCTGGTAAACAGAAGAAAATTTCAGCCTCTTTACACTGATAAAGATGCTTATTTTATTAACTAGCCAGTGAGAAGAACTGCAGGTAAAATATTAAAACAGAGCCCTTTGAAGAATGTAAAAGTACATACTTTTGAATAACTTTTAGAAAGTGTGCTACAGCAGCTAACTCGTCTTCTGTATAAAAGCTGTCCAATTCAAGGTGAGGGAGCGAATGCAGAAGATTCCAGAAATATGGTTGCTTGTAGAGGTTCTCCGCTCTAGAAATCACTTCCTCCACTTCATTCAAATCCATCTTTATGTGAAGAAAACACAATTACATGCAACACTTCCATTAACAGAAAAAAAAAATAGCAAGTTCCTGTTATTTCCCCTACCCCTGCCCTCTTGAATTTTAATCTATTTAAAATATTTTTTTCAAGTGGAAATCACAGCATGGTTTGGTTGGAAAGTACCTTAAGGATGATCTAGTTCCAACTCCCCCTGCCATGGGCAGGGACACCTTCCACTACACCTGGTTGCTCAAAGCCTCATCCAACCTGGCCTTGAAGGCTTCCAGGGATGGGGCATCCACAGCTTCTCTGGGCAACCTGTTCCAGTGCCTCACCACCCTCACAGTGAAGAATTTCTGCTGATATCTAATCTAAATCGTCCCTCTTCCAGTTTAAAGACATTGCCCCTTGTCCTATCGCTACATGCCCTTGTAAAAAGTCACTCCCCAGCTTTCTTGTAGGCCCCTTTTAGCCTCCTTTTGTACCTCTAGCTTTGGTAATTTACCACATCATTTTAGCAGTACTTTGAACTTATGGCAGCTTTGTTTCAGATGTCTTTCTCCGCTCTGATAGAAAATGGAGCTGGGAGAAAAGCTCAGCAATCTCTTTCTGCTCAGAAGTTA